AGAAAAGGCTCTTTTATAAGAGTTTATGTGGATCATCACTAGAGACTGCACATTTGGGTAGCTTTTTAGCTTGAGAAACTATTGAAAAGAGTTTCGGCACACAAGGTACACACTATAGCTGAAACCCATATGGTTTATATATATTGTGTATTTGTATGTTCTTGTTGATTGATCTTAGCTTTAGAAAATAAAAAATTTTAGAATTCGACTATTCTAACTTTGTATAATGATGCATAATTCCTTTCACATACCTAATGAAGGAGATAAAATGGTAGTAGAAAAACAATGAGGAATTTGAGTAATAGAAAGGGAAGGACATGCCATAGTCGCTAAAGCTATAGAATGAGAAATTAGAGCTTGAAAAACATTAGATTACAAGGCACCAATGGAAATAGAATATAAAGTTCAACTTGAAAAAAAATGAGGCATTAATTTTAGATGTGTCGAAAAATGCTTTAGATGTAAAAATTGTTTCATAAAAAATTACATGTCAAGAAATAAACATTTTTTTTGTAATTGAATAAAACATTTGTATGCAATTTGAGTGAATGACTATCTAAGAAAATACATAATCTGGCTTAGGTTATAACTTATGTTGATTATAAAGTTTAAACCATCGATAAAAAAGGCAATCAAATACTTTCAATTTTGAATAATTACTTTCAATTTTAAATAATTTGTAGCTTGTGAAAGAGCATTTTAAATGGATATTTCAATTTAAGAATCAGGGCTGGGAGTTTATTTATAAGGTACACTATTACTTAAAACATGTTCCATCATTAACAAGGATTTTATCAAGGCCTCCATAATAAAGACAAATTATTAAGATCAGTAGTGACATGGTGTGATGCCCCAGAATCAACAACCTAATTATCATATTTTCTTAATTAGGATGTGGTCACATCATTTGCTACTAGATCTTTGGATGACTTTTGGTGCGACAAGTCTTAGTAGTGTGTATTGGCCTATCACACAATTAACAAATTGGTTTTGAAATATTAAAAGTAGAAGGAACAAAATGTTTTTTTAGGTAATAAAAATTTTTTCTATTAAAGGTGTGAGTATAATTACCTCTAGAATGATATCCTCTATAAGAATGATTACTAGTAGTTTGCTATTATAATAGGAATAGTAAGATGTTCATCTTGTTGAATAATAGTTTAAAAATTGAAAAGCTTATCATGTAGCTCTTAAAGGAGATAGATGTTTTTCAAGCTCTAATGGTGGTAAAAAGTTCCTTAAAATATATTCCAAAGATATTTAGGTTGAATACAATTAAATCATCTTCTAATACTAAATATATTCTACCATCAGTCAATTTTCTTAAGTGGAATTGGTCAACTTCTTTCTAAGTGACATAACTTCGAAATGAGTCTTACTGACAAGCATCTTGGAAAATTTTTGCTAGGCTATTTATGAAGATCTAGACATAACAATAAGAGAATCATGTTTTCATAGATTGAAGCAACAATGGCATGAATAATAAACATATCTTGTCTTTGCTAGAATGAATAAGTAGGATTATGAGTTTATGTATTACCATGGGAAATCATGGTAGAGAGACAGGGAATGCTACCATCAAGATAACTAAGGAGACCATAACTGGCAAAAAAATAGTTGAATTGAAATTGTAAGATGGATAATTGAAGGAGTTTAGTTTCCAGGGCAATTAAGTTGTAGCATTAATGGAGATAGGACTAGCTTTTGAATCCTGAGTCAACTAAGAAAAGTTAGATGAAGTTGTGGTGTAAGCCAATGAAAAAAAAGGTTCTAACACTTGCTAAGATAGAGCATAGAGGCTCTAATACCATAAAGAGGTTGTAATGTTTTGGTGATTAAGAAACCTATTTTGTTCACTAAGCTTTAGTATGTGTATACAAGTATTAAAGATAAAGTAAACAACAGCTATTACAAAGGTTAAATTTTATGTAAAAGATAATAAATTGATACGCTAATATGCTAATAGTTGTTGAACTGGACTTGGTCTTTCTTACGATCCTTTACATTATCATCTTTAATAACATTAGGAATTTCAAAACTCAAAAGCATTGTTACCAACTTACCAATTTTTTTTATCGAAATCAAAACTTTGACCAATTTGTTGAAAACCTAAAGCATAAAGTACTTACTTGAACAAAATCTCTTCTTTTTTTTTTTAATGATTAAACAAGATTACACTTATTGATTTCAACAATATGTCCAATTCTTTGAAATTACTAACCCATGACTGATTTTACTAATATTGCCAAATTCTTCAATTAAGGGAGAATAAATTATGAATTTTTGTTATTTGTTGAAAAATGAAGGCAATATGGGATAAATTAGTTAAAAAATGACGGAATGATTTAAAATTTCCCTCAATTTATTTTCTTCTAAAAGCCTAGAACTCTTTTTTGTTTCCAAAGCCAATGTCATTTTTTTACTTTTTTTTTATTTTTTGATTTCTTAGTTTTCACTTATCAAAATTACAATTTGCCCAATATTTTATTGCTTAAATTAGCTTTCCCAATTAGTCATGTCATGTTATTAACAATTGACACATCTGCCTTGCTAATTCAGCATCAATGACACATAAGCTAAAAAAATAGCATATTAATCTATATAATAATGGGTGTAATACATGCATTTAATCTGTCTAAAGAAGTGTAGATCTTTAGTTATTATAATTGAAAAGTTAAGTCTAGGTTTAGACAACCCAATAAAAATTAGATCTCAAATTAAGCATTTTATCATAGAATTTATATACTCAAAGAAAATTACATCAATAAATTATATAATTAAAAAATATCAAATTATTTTTTTAATTCTGTTATATTTTATATTGATATTTTACTTTAAAAAAAATACAAAGATTAACTTTATTCAAATGATTATACTAAATCCATAAATTTTGATTATGTACGGTAAAAAATATCAAAATTTATGCCATATGGCACGCTTTTTTTTTTCTTTTTTTATACTATTTTCTTTTTTCTTTTTTTTCAATTTTTTTATTTAATTTTTTTTCAAAATCTTTTTATATTTAATAAATATTTTTTAAAAATTTTATTTTTAAAGATGGGTCCCACTTTATACCAAACTTTTTTTTTCAAGATTTTAAATTTGTTTTTATAGAATTCGCTTAATACTAAAGATATGTTAGTATTTTCTTAAAAAAAATTTTTATTTTTCATTTTTATATATTTAATAAATATTTAAGTTCTTTTTTGTCTTTCTAATTTGATACCAAGGACATTTCATATTTTATATTATTTTCTTCATTTTTCTCATTTTTCTTACTTTTATCATTTTTCTATTTATTTTTTCTTTATTTTTTATTTTTTAAATATTTATAATTTTTTAATATTTTAACTTTTTATGTGGAGTTCATTTGATATTATCGATTAAAAAATTATTTTTCTCTTTTTCTAATTTGATAATTTTTATAGAAATGGATATTAGGAAATGCCTATCATTTCTAATGTCATGCGACAATTCGATTGTCTTCTCTCTTTTTTTTTGTCATTTCTTTTTAATTCTTTCCTTTCTTTATTTTTTTGTTAGATAATTTTATTGAAAAAATAGCCAACGAATGTTTATACGTGACATTCAATATTACTTTTATACTTTTTTGATATTTGTTGTTTTTTATTCTTTTAATCATATAGTTTACAATAAAAGAAATTGGTAAAATAATTTTTTTAAGAAAAATATCAATGGAGGAATGAATAACAAAACAACCCATATTTGATAAATTTTGATTTATTAAGATCTAATAGGTGTGTTTTTTATTTGTGATAGGATCAATGTTTTTTTCCAAAAATCAAGATCAAGTTTGAGATAAGTTTATGACATTTTGACTTGTCGTAACTATATATATTAAAATTATATTAAAATTATTTATTTACTTTTATAGTTATATGTATATATTATATTAATAAAAATATTATTTAATATCTCAGTTTAATAAAAATGTTATATTTATATATAATTAAGATGTAATCTATTATTCATTACATAAATTTGACTCATTTTTACTTTTATTTAACCTTATTCAATGTCCGATGTGCTTTCTTATTTTCTTCATTTTTTTAACCTTTCTTAAAATTTTTTTAAGAATTTAGATAAATAAAAAACTATATAAGTATTCACGTGACACCTCAAATTGCTTTTTTTTTTATCATTTTTAATTAAATAAATTTTGTAATAAAAGAAACTCATGGATAGAAATGGTAAAATAATTCATATCCAATAGCCATTATTTAATTGGAATGTCTATATAATATTTCAATGACTTTTTTTTTCTTTTTTAAAAAGTTTTTTTGTCCTTTTTATTAAAATAATTTTGTGAAAAAACTCAATAGAAGTATCAACATGGCATCTCATTTCGTTTTTTTCACTTTAGCTTTATTGTATTTTTTTAATTAAAATAAAATTTGCAATGAAATATATTAATTAATAGAAATTCTAAAACAGTCTATATCTAATAAGTTTCGTTTCATCTTAATCTGATAAAAGATAATTTTTGAAAATCAAAATTAACTTGAGTCAGATCGAGTCTTTTTAAAGAAAAATGCGTATTTAAGATGCTTTGTTTTGATTTATTTTAAGATATTTATAAAACTATATTTTATTATTTTTTTAAGTTTATTCATATAAATTTATTATATTAATAAAATTATATTTTTAACTTAATTTAAAAAAAATTAATATTTCAAACTAAACATGAGGTGTCAATGTTATAAAATCTGAGTACTTTTTTTATTTTTTTATTTTTCTCGATTTCATATTTCCTTTTGTTTTTGGTATTTATTTTTTGTTAAAGTGCCAATGTCATTTTCATTTTTTATCCTCTTTTATTTTTTAATTAAATAATTTTTTTAAAAAATATGACAAATAAAATGAATAAAACAAAAATTTTAACCCATAATAATGTGGAAGTATATTTCTAGTTAAATTTTAATTTTCGCATAAGTGGTGACGGAACAATGCCATAAATTGACCACGGAATTATTGGGACTAGGGCTGCGACCATTAGCATGAGAAGGGCTTGAGTATTGCCTTCTGGCAGGGGTCCCATCTCTGATTCTGTCAGGACTAGCAGCCGCAGGGCCACACTGTAATAGGCCTTATCTTGTTGACCCATTGTGTGGAAAAGGGCTACTTCTCTCCTGCAGACTGCTGCCTCTATCAGGTGTTGGACTGTGCTCCCTCCCCTTATAGACAGTTACCCGTTTCTGGGCTCAGGGCTCTCTAATCTATTATCACGATCAACACTTTGCTGTCTCCTTGTTGGAGCCTCGGTTGTAGCTTCGACGCTGTATTCTGCCACGGCGAAGAGAGCGTGATCGAGAATAAGTAAGCCCACGTCTGTTTAGCTTTCTGGGTCTGTTCTTGCAGTTCCCCATTCTCCCGCCTCGCCTGGCTGCCATTTGAAAATTTGGCTCTCAAAAAAAAAAAAAAAAACTGTACGGAAACGTAGGATAAGAGTTTTATCTTCATATCTTTCCCTGCTAATTAATGAAAAAACGAGCTATCATCTCGAACCTCACAATTAACAACAAAAAATTTAGATCTCTTTCTCCATTCTGCTTCTCGTCTTCCGAATTTTCTTCTTCATCATCTTCCTCACCACGGCCTTACCCTCTCTCCACTTTCATTGTCTCCCTCCAATCATGTGCTCACCACAGAAACCTCACAAAAGGCAAGCAACTCCACTCTTACATGCTCAGGAATGGTCTCCTTCATGCTTCCCCTTCATCTCTCACCAGCCTCATCAACATGTATTCAAAGTGCAACCAAATGAACCATGCCCTTTCCTTATTCCAAACGGCCCCTCAAAACCCAAATATCTTTTCTTTTAATGTGATAATTTATGGGTTTATCATAAATGAAGATCCCTTTAAAGGTTTGAAATGTTACTGGGAAATGAGGGTTCTTGGTGTTTTCCCTGATAAATACACGTTTCCCTGTTTGCTTAAAGGTTGTTGTGATATTATGGAGGTTTTAGAGGTTCGGAAGATTCATGGGTTGGTTTTTAAACTTGGGTTGGACACAGATTTGTATGTGGGGAGTGGTTTGGTTAAGTGCTATTTGAAGTTTTTATTCATGGAGGATGCTGAGAAAGTGTTTGATGAATTGCTTGTTAGAGATGTTGTGCTTTGGAATGCTATGGTTAATGGGTACGCGCAGGTTGGGCAGTTCGATGAGGCTTTGAACGTGTTTAGGAAGATGTGTTTAGAAGGGATTGAAATGAGTAGTTTTACCGTTACAGGTGTTTTATCGGCTTATGCAATGATAGGGGATGTTGAGAATGGGAAGGCAGTTCATGGGGTTGTCGTGAAAATGGGGTATGGTTCGAGTATTGTAGTGTCGAATGCTTTGATTGATGTGTATGGGAAGTGTAAGTGTGTTGGTGAAGCATTGAAGATTTTCAAAATGATGGATGAGAGAGATATTTTTTCATGGAATTCAATTTTGTTTGTTCATGAACAATGCGGTGATCATGAAGAAACGTTGAGACTTTTTAGTATGATGTTAAGGAATGGCATTCGGCCTGACTTGATTACTTTGACGACTGTGCTTCCTTCTTGTACTCGGATGGCGGCATTGATGCATGGTAAGGAGATTCATAACTATATGATTATTAATGGGTTGTTAAAAGATGAAATTTCTGAAGATATTGATGATGTTCTTATTAACAATGGTATTATGGATATGTATGCGAAATGTGGGAGTCTGAGAGAGGCTCACTTGGTTTTTGATAAGATGAGCCATAAGGATGTTGCATCTTGGAACATTTTAATCATGGGTTATGGTATGCATGGTTATGGGGGTGAGGCATTGGATATGTTTTCACTGATGTGCGAGAGTGAATTTAAGCCTGATGATGTCACATTTGTGGGAGTTTTGTCAGCCTGCAGCCATGCTGGCTTTGTGAGCGTAGGGCGTCAAATCTTAGGGCAAATGAAGTCAAAATATGGTGTGGTTCCTACCATAGAGCATTATACTTGTGTAGTTGACATGCTTGGTCGGGCTGGGCAGCTTGAGGAGGCTTATCAATTGGCACTAACCTCTCCTAGTGAGACCAACGCAGTTGTATGGAGGGCCTTATTGGCAGCATGCAGGCTCCATGGAAATTCAGATATAGCTGAAGTTGCTGCAAAGCTTGTGCTTCAGTTTGAGCCTGAAGATAGTGGTAGTTATGTATTGATGTCCAATGTCTATGTAGCTGCTGGCAAATATGAAGAAGTATTGGATGTTAGAAATATGATGAGGCAACACAATGTGAGGAAGTTACCAGGCTGTAGCTGGATTGAAGTTAAAAATGGAGTCCATGCTTTTATTAACGGTGATCAGACGCATCCTAGATCAAACTCTATTTATGATGGATTGCACTCATTGACTTCTCTTTTGCATGAACATGACCATGTGCCAGATTATTAGTGCTAACTCTATGGTGGATATTTTCTCATATAAGTGAATGACAGAATGCTTTTCGGCCTTTTCTTCACATATCATTGGTGGTATATATAGATGGAAACAGATATGACAGGAAAAATCAACATAGTCCATAATTCATGGTTTAATAATGGTCTGGTTGCAAGGCAGGTAGCATTTGGTGGAATAATTTGTATAATAAGATAAACTTTTGGGTATAATATTTTCTGGGAAAATAACTAGCCTGACCAACTTGTATACTGGAACATTTCAGCCTTTTGTCTTGTTCAAGTTAGACAACAAGTTTTGGAGTTCTGTTCATTTTAAAGCTGTTAAGAAGACAGGAGATGACAGCAATTGAGGGTACATATTAGCGGGTGTACTGTTGTCTTATTGTTTGTAATTGTATTTATATTTCTTCAATTTTTCCTTGCAAATTCATAATGAAGTCCCTTTTTTTTTAATCTTTTTCTTATACTAAGCATTCGTAGCATATATGTTGCTCCCACTTAATTTAATTTTTATTGAAGTATTCGTATTCAAAACACAGTCAATAATCACATAAATTATGAAAAACTAAAAGTCTTAGTGATGTCATTGTCCCTGTTTTTTGCATTAGGTCTGGGAACAAACCAATAGTAAAGGATTTTTTTAATAGAATAAATGAAAACTTTAGGTCTCCAAATTATAATATTAAAAATTAAAATTGGAGAATAAGTTCAAAATTATCTAATTTTAGTAATTTTATATTAATGAATAGTTATGATCATCGGAATAATTTAGATATTAATTTTAATTATGATAATAATTATTAAAACCGAATCGGATTGTTGGTCAGATCGATTGAACTAGTGGCCTGATATTGAAATTGATTTGATTTTATCATTGGATCACTTTTGTAAATAACTCACTTTAACTCGTGCTAATTGATGGTTTATATAATAAACCATTAAAGCAGATAGATTATGTTAAACTAGACTAATTTAAGATATATTAGTAAATTTACCTTAACAGTTAAAACTATGATTTATTTAATTTTTAAATTAAATTAATGGATTATTTTGTAATTTAATAAAAGTATTTAATAACTAACAAATAAAATATTTCACAAATTTATAGAAATTGAAAAAACTAAAAACTAAAAAGTAAGAATCAAAAAATTGAAAAAGTGATATGAAAAGTGAAAATTGTATAGCATGAAGTTATGAACATCTTCTCTAGAAACAATAACCTCAATAAGCAAAATCTAGCCACTAATCCTTTTTTCATTTTCTTACTCTTCCTTAGGCTTCACTTTTTACCTTTCAAATCATATTTTCATTTGTAAGTTTTATCTATTCCATTTGAATTTCACTAAGCTTGATCCCTTTGTTTCATCCAAAAACCATATCAAAAGATTTAATTTTTGAAGGTTATTATTATATTTTTTATTCTTTCTTTTACAAATGATTTATCTTGTTTTGCTCAAATTAAGAATAAGAGTCTTGAAACTTTGAAAGCCATTCATGACTTGTCTCTATTCAACTTGTCTCTAATAACTTGGCTGGCAACTTGAAATTAGACCTTGAGGACTAGGCTGTCGAGAAAAGGCAATAGGAAAGAAAGGGAAAAGTGGGTCATTACTAATTATAACAACTTAAATGTGAAAAAACTAGGAATAAGATCATGTACCTTGAATATGTTAGCATCATACCTTTGTCTAACCAATCAGTCAAATTAAAAAACAATATATGGGTTTTCTTTATGAAATTTGAATTTGGTTTTTTATAAATTTTCTTTTCTATTCTATGACAAAGTGTTGTACCAATTGCGAATTACATTTAAAATTGTTTGAATGTGGTTTAGCCAAAAATGTGATTGTTTCAAATATTAAAACTTAAAAGTGTGTTAAATTGATAAGTTATTAAGTATCAAGATGAATTCAAGTAGCATTCCAATCAACTCCAACTTCAAATGCCATACACACTTTTGATTACACTCAAGGTTTATTACCAAAAAAAAATTCAATGAGAGAGAAAATAAACCTAACTTGGGGTCATTGTAGTATTATATGTGTATCATTAGGATTAGGAAGAGGAAAGATATCATGCTTACATTGCTAAACAATATTTTCAAGAAGTGGCATACATAAGTTTACACAACATTTAGCTAAGGTTAAAGGCAAAGTAAAAGGACGTAAGAAAGTACTTCTAGATGTTTGTTATAAAATGCAAAAGAGCATTGAAAGTCATGTTGAAAAAAAAAAAAAAGAGAGAAAGTGAAAAGAGGTGTTTGAAAAGCAATATTTTTATGGTTTTGAACTTAGAGCTTATGAGAACATGTACATGCAGAATGATTACTTTGAAGAAGTTCAATCAAGTGTCATGCCTCCTTTTTAAGTCTAAAGAGAAACAAAGTCTTACTACTTAAAAAATGAAGAAAGGAAAAGAGTTTATGGGTATTGGGATTTTTTTTATCCAAGAACCACTTCTGAAGTTCAACCAACTATCGAAAATGTGTTGTAAAGTAAGAAAGCAATTGAAAGGTGTGACATTGTCATCTCGAAATGGATAATTAATGCTTCCATACCATTCAATCCTGTTAATTTAGTATATTTTTAACTTATGATTGATGTAGTGGCTAGCATGGGTACTAGTTATAAAGGTCCTAACTTTCATTCTTTTCGTGATTATTTGTTAGCAAAAAATGTTAAAAAAACAAAGATATTTGTTGATAGTTCTCATACAACATGGGTAGAAACTGGTTGTACTATTATAGCTGATCAATAGACAAATCAATGTAGAAAGACCCTAATTAATTTTTTAGTATATTGTCGTAGAAGTATGATATTTTTATAGTCTATCGATGCTTCAAATGCTTTAAAAATAGCAATTTTGTTGTTTAAATTATTCAGAGAAATTGTGTTATTTGTTGGTCTAGAAAATGTTATTCACATGGTTACAAATAATACAGTCAATTATGTAACAGGAAAAAGATTATTGAAAAATAAGTTTCCTACACTTTACTGGTCTCTTATGCAACTCATTGCTTGAACTTAATGTTACATGATATTGGAAAGTTAGATGAGGTATTATGACACTGTGAATCATGCTTCCAAAATCATCAAGTATATATATAATTATTGTTATACTTTACATTTGACGAGGAAACATACTAGTGGAGGGAAATACTACATCTTGCTCCAACTCAATTTGCTACCAATTTCATTGCTTTACAAAGTATTTTTGGCACAAAATGATGGACTTCAAGCTATAATAACATAAAAGAATGGACAACTTCAACTTATTCAAAAGATAAAAATGAAAGAAAATTTGTTTATCTTATCTTGGATTCCATCTATTGGAGAGAATTTGTTGTCATTGTGAAACTCACAGAGCCTTTAGTACAGATTTTGTGCAAACTATATCTAAGCTCTTAGATGTCATTAAAAGTATTCTCATGCGAATTTTTCTTTGAGAAATAAGTTGACAAATGAGATGAAAGTTTTTAGGACTACTAAATAAGACTTTGGTGGCATGTTTGTCATATCTGATCTTGATGAGATGTTTTCTCATATGAGTTTCTATCTTAATTTTTTATTTTCTTGTATTTGTGAGCTTACAATTATTTATGCTTAAATATAATATTTTACTTTTAGATGATTGATGGTAATGTTATGGAAGTGATGCACCAAACTTTTGATTATGAGCGAAACTAGAGTATGTTTGAACATATTGATTGAAAGAAAAGAAATAGATTAAAACATCAAAGATTGATTGACCTTCTTTATGTACATTACATTTGCGACTTCAACAAAGGTGCCATTTTATGCTTATTTAAAGTTGTTGCTATAAAACATGATTTTAATAAGATGTTAAGTAATTTTATTTCTAACAGTAATAATTAAATATTTTTGCTATTTATTTAGTAATCATTTTTAAGGTTGTAATTATGATCTTATTGATAGAAGATTTTTGATAGAAGATTTTAAGAAAAATGATGATTAGGTGTTTAAAGAATAACATGATGGTTTATCAGTTGATGAATTAGAAGTTTTTCATCAATAGCTTGCTTCGTGCAATATTAACACTCAAAATTATGTTAATTTGATTGTTTCACTTGGATAATTTTAATTATTTTTATTTTTGAGTTGGTTTGATCATTATTCATTATTATATAACTTTTTTACATACTAAATACATGAATTTTTAATAATGTAGATGATTTGAATTTGGATGATGTACTCAATGATGAGGACATAACTCCACCTGATAATGAAAATGAGAGTTTGGCTAATGTGTCTTCTAATCATAACTTTGTTAATGTGTTTTCATCTTGGAACAATACATCCAAACATGATATTGGCAATAGTTGGAGTTTTATGAGCAGTTATTGGTCATTTATAAACATGGATTAGATTAGATAACTTTTAAAACAAAAAAAAGTTATTGTTCTTTGAATTTTATATTTTAAAATTTGTAGTTTTTGACTTACCTTAAAATTTATAGTTTAGGTTTAAATTACTAAATTAGTAATTCGAGTTAAAAGTTTGAACTTTGAATTTTTAGAATATTTATATTTTTATAATATTTTGGGTAAATTTCATTTAAGTCCTTAAGTTTTAAGCCAAATTCAGCACAAGTCTATTAGTATTAAAAACAAACAACCTTTCTTAAACATTTCAATTTTTTAGGATAAAGAAGTTCTTTTGTTAGCCTTCTATTAACTAATCTGTTAAGACCTTAAAATTAAGATCATTTTACCTTTAAATACTTAATATATTTGTTTACCAATATAAGCTCAATAGGTGAATATGCCAAAGCTACAAAATTGAAGAGCTGTTGTAGGAATATTTAGATTAATTGGCTAGAAAAGTGTGATGATTCTAATTTTTTTTTCTTGGTCTCTTCTTATATTAACAAATGAAAATGCTAAAGCTACATGTTGTTTTACTTATTTGTTGTATTTTTTTTATATATTGTTCTCCATGTTTTTGTTCATCACGTAATTAGGGTTTGTTCTATAATATTTTAAAATATTATTTATTGTTTTGCTATTATGGCTTCTGACCATATTTTTTTTATTTATGTGTTATTTTTATAGGGTCATTTGTAACTACTCACCGAGTATTTAAAAATTTTTTTCAAAGAATATTACCATGCCTTCTTCATTTAATAGTTATGCATCAAATTATGATATTCAATTTAGAACAAATATTGTTGATGTAGTCGAAGAGCTACTGTAAAGATATTAGAATCTGAGCATAATCATTCAAAACTTTATTTTATTTGTCAAGAAAAAAAATTATGGATTTTTTTCAATTGTGGTATCAATCAATGTACATTTTGATACCAACAAAAATATTGGTGTGAGAAAAAATGTAATGGAGATTAGAAGTTTTATGATAGAAATAAAAGAAGGAAATTGGAGCTATAAAAGAGCATTGTAAAAAAATTGAGCATGCTTTGA